GAATATCACAGTTAGCCAGAATCTGCAACATGAAGTCAGGAAAGCAAAGGCTCAAAATGAACAAAGACTTCAAAAAAGTCAAAGATAATAAAAAAAAGTTTCTTTCAATACATAAAGAAGGAGTCAAGGAAACAGTCTCCTTGGAGTCAAGGAAACAGTGCACAAAAGAGAGAAGACGGCAAGGAAGTAACAGGTAGTAGAGAGAAAGCAGAGCCGCTTAACTCAATCATTGCATTGGTCTTCATGCAAAAAGAAACTATAGCCCAACCTATCAAAAACATAACCGTAAAAGACAGACTAGAAATAAAAATGAAAATAAGCAAGAAAATGGTAAGAGAACAGCTGTCTGATCTTGATGGATATAAATCACTGGGTCTTGACAGATTATTTCCCAGAGTATTAAAGGAGCTGTCAGATGTCATCTCAGAACCATTGTACCATACCTTTCAAAATTCCTGGAGCACCAGAGAACTACCTGAGGATTGGAAGTGTTAATATAGTTCCCATCCTCAATAAAGGGGAAAAAATCAGACACAGGAAACTATCAGCCGAACATCAACACCTGGGAAGATACTGGAAATAATAATAATATCTGTGAACATCTAGAAAAAAATAGAGCCAGTACAGGTTTGTTAAAAACAGATCATGCCAAACCAATTTTATTTCATTCTTTGACAAAGTGACTAAATTAATAGACCAGTGAAATGCTGTGGACATAATATACCTAGACTTCAGCAAGGCATTCAACAAAGTAGACCACAACCTGCTTTTTGGTAAACTGGAAAAAAATGAGATAGATGGCATCACCACCAGATGGATCTCGGCAGATTTGAACATTGGGCTCTATCTAACAAAATGAAATTCAATATAGAGAAAAGTAAAGTTTTACACTTAGACAAGAAAAACTACACATACAGATTAGGTGAAACCTGGCTTAATAGCAGTAACTATGAGAGGGATTTTGGAGTCCTAGTGGATAATCAATTAAATATGAGCCAGCAGCAGCCAAAAAAGCCAATGCAATCCTAAATTGCATTAACAGAAGGACTGAATCAAGATCACATGAAGTATTAGTACCACTCTATAAAGTCTTAGAAAGGCTGCACCTAGAATACTGCATCCAGGTTTGGTCACCACACTATAAAAAAGTTGTTGAGATTCTAGAAAGAGTGCAGAGAAGAGCAACAATGATTAGGAGCCTGGAGGCTAAAACATGAAGAACAGTTGCAAGAACTGGGCATGGCTAGTCTAGTGAAAAGAAGGATCAGTGATGACGTGATAGCAGTGTTCCAATATTTGTCACAGAAAAGAGGGGGACAACCTATTTTCCAAAGCACCAGAAGGCCAGACAAGGAATAATGGATGGAAACTGATCAAGGAGAAATTCAACTTAGAAATAAGGAGAAATTTTCTGACAGTGAGAGCAATCAACCAATGGAATAGCTTGCCTTCAGAAGTTGTGGGTGCTTCATCACTGGAGGCTTTGAAGAAGAGATTGGACAGTCACTTGTCAGAAATGGTATAGAGTCTCCTGCCTGAGCAGGGGGTTGGACTAGATACCCTACAAGGTCCATTCCAACTCTGTTATTCTAAGGTTCTAAGAATGTTGTGTACTAGCCATGTATTGTATAACCCAAATACACTTAACACTATGGGGGGGGGACAGCAAGAAATCCCAAATCTGTCCAATCAGAAAACTCCCACCCTGCTTAAATGCCTGAGGCATCCTCAGCCATCTTGCATCAAATTTCCACAGTCTCCACCCATTAATTAATGAAGCAACAAGTCCATGGCTGTCAAAAGCTTGCTTATCCCATTTTTACATTAAGGAGATAAAGCCTTTTTGTGTGGGTTCAGAGGGCTGAATCTCTTGAGTATAATTTATTGGAGTTTGGCTGTACAGTATAAGTCAAGGGGACCATCCTCTCATTTTCTGGGCCTCTTTTCTCTCCTTCCCTCTCTCTTTCTTTTACTTGATGGGAAGATCTGAACGTATTTGTAAAGATGGCTGAATCTGTCACTTGAAGATGACTTTGGCCATTGCCCTTTTCATTTCCTTCCTTTGCTCAATCTATTTCAAGTCTCTGCTCCCCCCTCTCCACTTCCCATCTCTCTATCCTACTCTCTATCTCTCCTCCAAATTCATCCCACAAGCATGAAATTAGGCCTCCTTTTATAGCCTTCTCATTACAAAACTGTTAAGCAACAAATCAGCTGCTGATGGGCAAGACTTGAAAACACGGCGCCTCTTTCCCTTTATTCAGTCTTATCATTACAAAGATGACTTTCCAATCTATTTTTTTTTTGTTATCCCTTCCTTCTCCAAATATTGCCTACAATAAGGGTTTTTTGAACTTTCCAGGGACCAGAGTAGCCACTTTCAAAGCTAGATGTTTCTCATAGCACATCAATTAAGGCAAACTGCAAAACCAATATAAATTAAACTGTGAAAGATGCTGACCACAGGAATTGTGTGCTTGTGCTCCCACTGGAAAAAAAGCATTTCTATATTTGTCTGTGTATATACACATACACATGCGTGTGCACGTGCGCGGGCGCACATACACACACACACACACACACACACACACGCATGAATGGAAATAAGAAGTGTTCAGATTAGTAGGAGAACCAACCAAAATGGTAAGAAATATGTTTAAATTCAATATTGCGATTCCAATTTTCCCTGGCATATTGTCAGAACTATAATCCAGAGTATATTTCAACCTCATGGCCAAGATTCAGCAATGGCCCTGAGATTGAAATATACTCTGGTATATGGTATCCTAGTGCAGTGTTGGTGAAACTTTTCGGCACCGAGTGCTGAAACGGGAGTGCATGTGTACGCATGCCAGAAACCAGAACAGCAGCCACCCAGTACACATGCATGCGCCAGGAAGATGATCTTCCGGTTTTCGGCACATGCATGCGCACTGGCTAGCTGGTTTTCGTGTGCACATGTGCGCCAGAAACCGGAAGACCAGGTGGCCGGTGCACATGCGTGCGCCACAAACTGGAAGATCATCTTCCCGGCACGCGCATGCGCACTGGGTGTCTGCTTTTCTGGTTTCTGGTGCTCCTGTGCACATGAAGACCAGCTGGCTGGAACCCGGAAGAGCAATGGGTGACAGCTCACGTGCCCAGAGAGATGACTCTGGCCATACGTTTGCCATCATGGCCCTAGTGGTTTTTTCCAATGCTGTAAGCCTTTTGAATGGAGGATTCCTGTGGGTGCTACTCTCAGCAGTGCTTTCTCCATCCTCCAATTCCTCTTGCCCTTCTTCCCCCATCACCCAGTAGCAAAAGGTTTCTTTCCTTTATCACCTCTGAAGCCTCATCCACATCTGGCCGACTCTTATAGAAAAGTGATGAGTGCAATATATAT